CGAAATATGTAAATTATGAAAGTATATAAAAAATATGAGTTTTTATATATTTTTTATGCATATATATTATGTAATTTCAACAAAAAATAAATATAAATATTATATACAAATATTATTTTTTATATATTTTTATTTATGATATTAAATAAAAATATTAATAAAATAATATTTTTATGTATTTTTAATATTAAATAAAAATATTAAATGCATTTAATATATTCTTATAAATAATAAATTATTTCAATTATTTTGGTTATTTCAATTAACCAACCGAATAACCCAATTGTTTTGATTCGTTTTAATTTGGATTTGCACACAAAAAAACATACAATGCATAGAATGCGCCATATTGTACAACATTATGTACATTGGTAACTGTTAAATTGCACCATAGCGTTAGACTAAATGCATGTTAATGCGCTCGAGAATGAACATTAACATAACAATGTGCATTTTCAAAAATATTAAAATTTTAGTTATTTTGGTCCGATTTTTAATTTATTTACAAAAAAAAAATATAATAACAAAATCGACCGAATTATTCAAAAAGTATTATTTTTATATTATATCTATGTATATATTATTTGTGTTCAACCAAAAATAATATAAAGTATAAAATAAATACTAAATATATCTATATATATATAATTACTGGCTCATAAGCATTTAATAAAACCTATTAAATTATACCTACGTGGCACTTTCCCGCCAAAAACCATTACTTTTCAATTTTTTTTTAATTATTTTATTATAAAAACATGTTTGATTTGTATTAATGTGTTGCTATGTTAATATTGGTCAAAACCTAATTTACTGTGTAGCCGTTACATTTCTCTTTTTTCCTTATTATCTTTAGTACCTTTGAATTTCGAAAATAATTTTTTTTATTATCAAAAAATTGATTCACTCACAATATTTTATCTATTTATTTTCACTAATTTATAATACTTTGTTTTTTAGTAACTAAAGTTGTTTTTGATTTTAGTAAAATTTTTCGACAATATAGTCCTAACTACATTTAGTAAAATTTACCAATTTAAAGTGGCAACTAGATATTCATACTTCTTTAGCAAGTAGCTTTTGTAAAATTCACGACAAGTAGGTGTATTCGTTTGGAATTTCGAGTGACATTTAAAGGCTATTCGAGATTTGAAAATTTTAAATTAGAGGAATCTTGTGAAATTTTAAGTTTGGATGTGAGATTTGTAATGAGTTTTTATTTCTTTATAAATTCCAACAAATCTTAGAAAGTTTTAACAAATCTTAATCTCAAATAATAAAATACATCGGGATGAATACCAAATGAATATCTCAAGACTTTTGTAAGTCTTGAGAACTCTAAATTAAATTATACCATAATTTTCAAAGTCTTAAAAATTCTTCAAAATTTTTTAAAAATCTCAATTTAATACACACTTAAATTTAAAATAGCTATTTTGTAAAATCCACAATAATTAATTAAATTTAAATATTTTCCATATTATATACAACACAACAAGTAATTAACTTTAAATATTTCCATTGTATATACAAATCACAAACTCCTTTGCATCTCACTGTACAATTCATTCATTTTGTAATAAAATCGTCCCAGTAAATGACAAAAAGCAACTTTCGGAGAAAAATCAGCCACCGCCACATAACATAATCCCTCGAAATTTATATATATATATATATATATATATAATTACTAGCTAATAGCATTTAATAAAACCTATTTAATTTAATCTATGTAGCAATTTAACCCTTTTCCCTTCAAAAACCGTTACTTTTGATGTATTTAATTTTTTATTTAATTATTAAATAATCAACACTAATCACTTCAAAATTACAAAAATCATTTTAAACTTTTGATTATTGGCAGTTGACCATATAATGTGTTTACCGTATAATGTGATTAGATGTTATAATTGTGGTTAAATTTAAATTATTATTATTTTTAAAATAAAAAACGTATTTAAAATTCTTAAATAAATAATAAATCATTCACAAACAAAGACGTACCAAAATATACATTACATCCAATCAGATAAACGCAATTTAATAAAAAATAGATATTCCAACTCCTTTAATTGTAAATTTGGCCAGCAAAAAGGTGAAAGAAAAATATTATCATTATATGCAAATACTTTATTTACATTTGTGCAAATGCACAGGTCGAATACTAGTTAGTATAAAAAAGAATAGTTGCACTTTGAATGCAAATTAATGTTTTATGGGGTGCACATTAATGATTGTCATATTGCACTACAACGACTGAACCCGACCAAACTAAGTTTTTTTTGTTCAAAACTTACATGTCAGTTTGATTATCTGTTTTTACCTTTCAAATTTTAGTTATTTTGCGGCTTTTTTTTGCCTTAATTGCTGAACTCTTTCGTGATACTTAGCATGTTGAAATTGAGTATGTTTTATAGCATTTAAGTTCAGTAATAAGGCCTAAGTGTTGTTTGAATTTGAGAAAAAGGGAAAGAAAAAATAGATGCATGTGTATTATATTTGAGACCTTAATCCATGCATGTTATGAACATGTTGCTGAGCCATGTTGGTGTGATTTGTATGCTGAAAATGTGTACTTTTAAGAGTGTTTAATCAGTTTTTGTGGCCTTAGATGTTTAGAGAAAATTTAGAAGTATTTGCCTTAAGAAAAGAGAAAGGAAAGAAGGTGAATTTAGGCCTTGGTTAGGTTGCCCTTAAATATCTTTTGCCTTGGTTAGATTTAGTATATTATGAGTATTAAATAGCCAGAAGTTTGGCTGGAAAAATGTAAGTTAGCCGGCAAAATTTGCCGGATAAGTCTCTAGTCGGGCTCGACTGGCAGCAGGTCACAGGGCGGCCTAGTCATTTGCCGCAGCCGCACCCCAGCGTGCGCACATAGCACCGCAACCAGTGCCCCCGCCCACGCACTATGCCGCAGTCACTCTGCAAACGCCGCACGATAGCCCGCACCCAAACGCCCGTGTCACGATGCCCTTGCGCAGCCCGCGACTGCAGCTCACCGCTCGCGCGCCTGTGACTAGTCGCATCGCAACTGAGTGATTATTCGCACCCCTCCGCGCCCTCAGCGTCCCAACAGCAGCACGCCAGCAGAACTGCGCATCTCTGCAGCCCAACAGCGACCTAGTGCATCCTCGTGACCAACGCAGCTAGTGAAAACACCTAAGCCCCAGACCTAGTACTTTCCAGTGACAGTGCGCAGTCATGGGTGCACCTAAGCCTGTAGACCGCGCAGCCGTGAGCGCGTCTAGTGCAGTGGACCCAAGTCGAGGGGCTACAGCCAGGTCGACCGAGCAGCCAGCATGCCGAACAGGGTCTGACTAGGCGAATCGGCCGTTTAGTCTAGTGAAAATTAGAATTTTTGGGCTTTAGAAATTATTTGAGAACTCCTAGAAAAGTCGAGAAAAGTTAGTAGAAGTTCTATTTGTCCTATCTGCCTTGTTTGTCTTACTTACTTGTTTTATGTGTTTTACTTGCTCTGTTTTTCTTATTTGTTTGTAAGGCCTAATCAACCAAATCAAAGCCCTTATTAATAATTAATTAAATTACTAAATTGTAGATTAAAAAGAGTCGAGCTCTCGCGCAGTTTCGCGTGCATTTTCATCTATCGTGATCAGCAGTTAAGGTGGGTGTTCATAATTTACTATGTCTTTATTCTTTATAATTGCGTGATTCTATAATTAACGTATGTATATGAACCATGTACACCCGTCGTTGAGTGTGGTTTCGACCACGACAAGGTATTCCTGTCGTTGAGTACGGTTTCGACCTTTGAAAGGCGATCTCCATTTGCCTAATGAGAGGCAGTGTCGTTGAGTGCGGTCTCGACCTTCGAGAATATGCTTCCGTTTATGAATGCGGTATCAACCTTCCACGGTTTTAAGATGTGTATACATGAGCCGGATGTAATGGATGGAGATGACTGTGATGTGATGATTATGATTTATGTTCATGCTGCGATTATATTCTGTTGTTATACTGGATATATTGCATAGTAATTCCCACGGTGAGCTAGTTGTTTCCTTACCCCATAAATTATCGTTTTTTAGGTTAAGTAGCTGGCGGCGGTCACAAGGAGCCGGGGGTGGTCTTATCTATGTTTTATGTTCATAATTGCTTCTGCAAAACGTTTCTGAACTTACGTTATTTGGATTTTATGGAATCGAATGGTGTTTCGAGACTATTTACGAATGAAGATTTTATTATGTCGCGCGATTGTGAAGACGAAAGTTTGGGAAAATGAATTCCAAAAGAGCTCAACGTATTTTAAGCTAAGGAAAGAAAATGAAATATTTTTGAGTAATGCCCGAAAAGTATTTTAAATCGAAAAATAATTTCCGATTAAGACTTCTGATGGGAGCATTAAGACTTGGGAGGAGCTGAACCAGAAGTTCCTGCTTAAATATTTTCCTCCAAGCAAGTCGATGCAACTGAAAAGCGAGATTACTCAGTTCAAGCAGCAAGACTCGGAGCCTTTATATGAATCTTGGGATCGATTTAGAGAGTTGTTGCGAAGATGCCCTCAACATGGTTTTCCAGATGATCAACAACTTTGTTTTTTCTATAACAGGTTGTTGGGGCAAACGAAAGCCTTTGCAGATGTGGTTGCTGGAGGAGCTCTATTGGCTAAAACACCGGAGGAAGCATACAACTTATTGAAAGAGATGGCCGTGAACAGTTATCAGTGGCCTTACGAGAGGTCGAGCATTAGACGAGTGGCGGAGGTGACGTCTTCTGATCCAATTAAGGA